TATTATAATACTATGCATTCTGTTTATACGAAACTTCGTATTATGATTATTATAAAATATGATAATCTATAATTGTGATTCGTATACCAAAATCAATGGCTTCTAATTAAAATTTTCTAAATGATGGCAGATCGATCAAAATTAAGCGAGGTTGTATTTGAATCATAATGTTATATAAGGTATTGTAGTTTTGTTAATTTTTAGTTTTACTGAAAATTAGCTTTTACTGGCAAGTAGCAAGACATGCAGTCAACTATTTGAATATATATTTACAAAATTGAGATATTTTTCTGCGTTTTTCCAAAATGCTGTTGTCTAGAATATAATATATATTCGCTATTGGCTTAGAACCAAAATCTCATTTCGTCCGGCCACAATTCACACGAAATAAAACCATTATTTTTCCAGAGTATCTTTTTTTTTGACCTTTCTGGCGTTTTAATGTTTCTAGATGGTTTTCTGCAAGTCTTCAGAAATTAAATAAATATCCAAAAAAATATACATAATATTATATTTAATTCGTCGCGCATTAACAAAACGTCGTAAAAAAAATTATATTTTTATAATAATAAATATAAATATACCCTAGAGCCCAAATAGTCATCATACTAACTATGACATTAAGATATAATATTTTCAACGACTAAATCAAGAGAAAATTATTCTCCACGGTGAAATGTAAGCTTAAATTATAGTTCATATTTGTTATGTTTTACAACAAAATAATATCATGTTTCAATTATTTTTATTTGTCCGTGTTTATTGGTGGTCCACAAGGAAGTTCTCGTTGAATTATAATTTAAAACTGTGCTCGGAATAGTTTAAAAAATATTTCAAACATTACAAAAACACTAATTACAACAGCCAGTGACATAGATGCGATAATATATTTTATCTGGAGTGGTGAGGTAGGGGGTTGAACAAAATATTATACATGTGTAGAACACGAAGATGTTGTATAATGTTGTTGTATTCGTTGTTAAATACGAATCATATAAGTTAACGTCAGATACCTACGCCGTTATTATTATATACTTGTTTGTCTCTCGCAAGGGTGCTCACAGCTAACATAACATCTATACATAAAATACAACTTCAATATTGTATTATATGAGTATGTGTAACCATACTTGACTGCCTAGTTGTTTGTATTTTATTGTTGAGTTAAAATATATTGTTTCGAAAAAAAAAATGATGAATACCTAATATATTATTATATTATATTACATAATATTATGGTGCATTGTATGTTTGATGGGATGCAAGTATAGCAGCAAGTTAGTAGCAGTAATGGGCATTTAAATATGTATATAAAAAACTTAAGAAATTGCGATTTATTTCTAAAAACTGCAGTACATATTTAAAGAGAAAATCAATTTTGTATGTACTGCAGAGCAATTTACCAATATGTTTTTCAGGATAGTTATTTATTAAGCCGGAAAACTCGATTGGCGACTATATAGATGTTCGTGACGCAGCGGCCTGTAGAAGCATTGCCGCCGGCCCAATAATTTCGTTTCAACAATACCCACCACCTTTTCTATAAGTTGTTGTAACCCTTCTATGGTGTGCAATACTTACACATTCTTGAAAGTGACTTGTTTCTACCCCGTCTAACCCCCCCCCCCCCCCTCACAAAAAAAAAATCGAATTGTGGTATTAATTATATATTTATGGAGAGTAGGCACCTAAAGAATTTGAACATTTAAATGAATGTCATATCTGAATATTAATTCTCTTAACGTTCTGTATGATAAAATGAGTTATAATACGTATGGCGAGATTGAAACAAAATTGTTATCGGTGTTTTGTTTGGTTTCGTGTCATCTTATTTCTCGCAAATTTTCTATATTATTTGCTATTTGTAAATTTAATTATTCCGTTGTACTGCGGTTTATCTCAAATTTAATCAGTACCTACACAACTTTGGTTGAATTATGAAGGAAAATGAAAATAATACAGTAACAGGCAAACAAAACAACTTCAAGTTGCAGCAAATATGACAACTCTTGTCGGCATAATTTTTGAAACAAACACGTTATCGTGTATTACATTATACTCATTATGTATACTAGGTATTACATATATACTATGAAGTTAAACAGACGTTTGATGTCACGAAAATGTGACGAATTTTCAAACTCACCTAAACATAGTTTCTTACTTAATGTATAAATATATGTTCCATGGCTCGTGCTGTTGCTCATGAAAAATGTAACAAAAGTGTAGAAATTGGGGGTCAATATAAACAGGGGGTGTACATACAGCCAAATTAAAAATAACGCAGGCCCACCTATATTCTAAAATGTAACCAGATTTCGATCTACGGTTATACTTTGAAGTTTCATACAATTATACCTGACAATATATTATCATACGTTCCCGTTTCATCTAGTTCACTTTGTATTTAATTCACCGGTACATTTAACAACCAAAATAACTACATCTGCAGTGCTACGTGGACTTGGTGGTGTGTAATGTGTACAACTACACATGATATTATGTAAGTTTCTTTAATGATAATGGAATATTATTAAAACTGCACGCTGCATTAATGCAATTCATGGTAACTTATAATAAGTAGTATAATAAATAAAGGCGTTGATGAATATACTCAAACAGACATGCGAACACTGCACGCTCGAATACAAGTGCACAGTGCACATAATAATAATAATAATAATAATAATAATATCAATAACAATAATGATGATCGTGTTTCTGTGGAAACGCCAATAACCCTGGTAGTTGAGGAGTATTATAAAAAAATGATGAAAATAATAGCAATGATAATAGGCATATAGTATCCTATCTATTATATTGTTTCGTGTCCATTGTATTATGGTAAGTAGAATTGTTGTGTGGTTCATTCTAAACAAATTTTAAGTCTATATTTATGTTAATTTACTCAGGGAGGGGTACCCAACTACGAGCATGTTATTATAATGATATTTTTATAATTATTGCCAAAAAGTCAAAGTTTTCAAGTCAAATATTTCGATGGTGATTTAATATAATAATACTCGTATTTGTATAACAGTGTTTTTTTGATTTTATAGAAAAAATGGATCAATACAGTAATTGATAAATCGTATAGAAAAATATGACAGCAGTTTGTTCGACATCGACCGATTTATCAGTTGTATTATTATACATTATTTTCTTCGTTGCAGTAAATACAATATGTACTCTGCAAGATTTGCCAAGCATTTCCACTTCATTTGTTCCCTTTAATAATACATTTATTTAAATTTTGAGTATTAGAATTTTTAAGCACACTTAAGAGCTATATTTTCAATTATTTAGATTTTTATACCAACTGAAGCGAGTATCAATGGGAATACTAACTTCTATTTTTTAAACAAGAATAACCCTTTTTAATTTAAATTTATAATCAGATAATATTGTTTCGGAAATTTGTACGTAACTAAATCAAAATTCAAATAAAGTTCTGAGTTATTAAAATGTGTATATTGAGAAAAATAGTCTTTCAAAATTATTTAGCAAAAAAATAAAATATATATCTGATATTCTATTCAATATAAATCTATCTATTATATCAATTATATTTATTATTCTTGGGCAATTTTTAAAAATGTATAAAATGTTAATGGATTAATATTGATTATTAAAATTTGCAAATCATAGCCCTCAAATCTTCCTTAATACACAAACTTAAATAACTCAAAAAGTAAAAACTACTGGTTCGAATTTTGATTTTAATTTTAAAAGAAAATGAATCTGCTTAGTAATGTAACGTAAAAAGGTCAGTTATCATTTAAAAAAAAGTTTGTATCGATACAGAACACTTCTTCAGTTGTACTAAAATCTATATTATGGAAAATATGGTCCTTAAATATACTTCAAAATTCTTAAGATCAGTTATTATATTATTATTAAATAATTGAATAAACACAATAGGAGTGAGCTTGTTTGACGAAGCATCCTGTATATACTTTTAATCCGTTCGCATTTGTTTATATGCTCACATTGCGCTAATCGGCTCACGAAGCCCTGTTCTTGTTGACCACCCTTGGTTGGATAATTTAACTGGTGAGTTATTCGAAATACCACTAGGACCTACGTGGAGTACTGAATATAAAAGCTGGTTGGGTATTGCAGAAGGACTCTCCAAACGCCGGCGGCTACGGTTCACTCGCGCCGCAGTCACCTTAATCGTGTTATACAGAGTGATTCTTTAATCAATAAACAATAATTTTATCAGAAAGTTTTTGTTCTTGAAAATGTTGTTTTATTCGATTTTAAGACGCATTTCATACACTTTTATAACTCAAGATTTATAATCAAAAATTATTTGATGACTAAAAAAAAATGTAAAGAAACCCTTTTTAAAAATATATTTCATTTATAACTGAGAAAACTTCTGTAAAGTGTACAGTGTGAAAAGAACCACTTTGTATATTATATACAATATACATTGTACTCGTTCGCCAGACCCACAAACACGATTGGCTGGACGTCATTGAGTCTATTATTCTATAGTTGGCATACTCCCGAAGCCGACTGACATAAATAATTTTGTAAAAAAAAAGGTGAACATATGATGTGTTTTCACATGAATTTATGATAATAGATTAAATGAGTCGATAAATGACCTAGCATTGTAATATTATGTAATGAATGTTATAATGTATAATATTATTTATATCTAAAACATAGTTATTGTTAGAGTATCGATTTACAGAAATTTGATACTACGCTTTTTTTCTTTTCTATGTTTGCTAACTTAATCAAAACTAAAACATTGTATAGTATATTAGTATCTTGTAGTTATTATAATAAAAGGCATTTTGGCACATTGTATACTTCTTTATTGAGTCATCTAAATGTTTCGTTATCGTTATAAAATTGAAAAGGATTACATAATGTAAAATATTAATGTACATTTACTATCAGCCTTTTTAACACAACATTTGAATGGATATTAAACACAGGTAATTATACTTCGAATTAAGCATATTATATATAAATATACGTACTGTTCGTGCAATGCTGCTCCAAACCGCATTGCGCACAACGGTTCAGCGCTAGTGCTCCGCATTGACATCCGCCCTGTGGTACACAGCAGGCGCAGTCCTGTCTGAGTAAATCGTGATTGCATCGGCATCCTTGCGATTCTTGTGTCCATAGGTCCACCTGGCCTAAACAATTATGGACACATTATTTAAATTTAATATGCTTCGGCAACACAAGTATATAAGTACATAAAGTATGCAGGTTGCATATCACACAAAAAGGCATACATTATAATATTCAGCTATTGTACACAAATATCGGATCCGAATTTCCAACAGTTTCCTTTGAATTGAATAGCTTATTTGTATTTTAAAATACCACTTTATTCGCAAAACGTATTACAAATCTTAAAAAGAAATACTACCTAGTGAAAAAAATAAATTATGGTAAAAATTGTTAGCGAAATACTAAATGTTATAATGTAATAATATCTGGTACCCACTAACATATTTTTCATCATTATGTTGCTGCACTGGAGTATAAATTATAAGAGACAAATGAGATTTAAGAAGAAAATAATAATAAAAAAGAACATTTATAAAGCAAGCACCGTAAAAAACGAAACCGAGTTGAAGTTTTAATGTCAATATTGTAAGTATTGACAAATTGATAAAATGCTGTGTATTCTTTGACAAAAAATTAGTATTTTTTCAGAGAATTTAAATACAGTTAAATAATGAATATTAAAATATTTTACACGATATATTTAATTATGTGCTTCCAATGAAATAATATCATGTAGTTAAAATCCTTTAATATTCTCAAATAATAATAAAAAAAATACTTTCGACGTTGACAAATAAGTACAATTTATTCACAAAACAGATAAAAATAATAACGTGTATATTGTATACATTATACAATATGATAAATTAAAAGAGCTACCACTTTGCTGTACAACAAGTGCCGAGTGTATGTCGTCATTGGGTTGGCGCTGTAATTGATATGTTAAAATTGAATTCGATTATAATGAATCTTTGCATACGAATTTGCGTTATAATAATAGTTGTAATATAATAATAATCATTATTATTATTGTAATATATTAATAATATGTTATTATAATAGGCGCAGCTATTAAAGCTGAATTTAAGCTATATTAAGGTAATTTATTTTAGTATTAGTCATGGGTAGGTTGAATTCCTTTTTCGAAAACAACCCATTTGTTATACTTTTAAACACAATTTAGTGTTAACAATAATAAATGAATAATTCGTTAATCGTTTGGTAAAACAAGTGTATCTACCTAAAATTGTATTTTTACGTGCAGTTGTAATACAACTTGATATTCGGGTGGAATAATAATTTGAAGAACATTATAATAATACTTTGTGATTTTGTTTTTTATTCTTGAATAAATTAAATTTTAATAAATATGTATGTATTTCGTATGTAATCCACAGAAGCTTAAATGATCATGTTTCATTTACCACACAGTACAATAAAATTCTAGTTATATTTTAATATATTCATAGCAGTGCTTTATAATTTCTAACACTAAATCGTCATGACATTTTTATGTTTATAAACTTTCTTTTGCATTCATAAATAACATACGATTTATTTCATATTTGTACAGTAATATTGTAGGTATGTATGTAGGTCAGTATATTATAGTGGATTAAAAAAAGGTTCGTATAATATTTTGCTCGCATATTTTTGTTAAGTTGTTACTCACTTAGTTAAATAAATTAAGCTTTTATAATCATAATATTAACCGTGTTAATTAAACACCTGTATATATACTTAAGCGTGTTAACGACTATATAAATATATAATATAATATTATACTATAGAAATTTCATAAAATATATATCAATATATTTTTACAGGTTGTCAGAAAAGTTCAAATGTACAGGTTATTTCGTATAATGTACATTTTATATCATACATAGCATTATATTTTAGGCATTTAGAGCTCAACAAGTTCTCAGCATGCTGTACAATATTTATTTGATGTGTTTCAAGCCACTAGGTGGGATATAGCTTGGTAGAGCCTAATTAAATATTTGTTAGTCAAATCGCATTTTCTCCAAAAACAAATTTATCATAATGTCTTAACGATAACAATATTCTTTAATATTTTACCGACACAGCATTACAACAACACGGGCAATTTTAATATATAAAACAAATGGTAGTTATGACCCTACACGGGTTTTGAAAATAAGGTCGTCCGTAACATTGTATTATTTTGCCAACAATTCACAAACCATAAAAGTCAAAGAGACGTATAAAACAGATTATTTTTCAATGTATTTCTGTATTTATGACGTAATATATTCTATAGCTATCCCTTCATATAATATTATTAATTTATAACTATTAACTATAATTTATGATGTTTAGTCTTTTAAAGTGACGGTATGGAGAGTAATCAATATGTTAATATGATTAGGAGTTCAATAGAGTTCAGAGAAATGTATTACGGATACGTACTGTTTTTAACAAAGACTGATCTTCAAAATTACAAAACATGTTATAAATACCATAAAGTAAGAAAACAAAATAATTAATAATTAATTAATAAACAATGCAATAAAGCACCCAATATTTCGTGGAGGGAGGCGTAACCACAAGCCCCCAATGTTTACCTCCTTCACTTAAATAAACTTGTTTCGGCAGCTATTATGGTCGTGGTAAATAACAATTTACAACTATAATATTATACCTATACCATGTGGGCTATATTGGTCGTTAAAATGTGTAATACTAGATTGTAATAATAAGACCTTGTAAATAGACTGAAATTATTTTGAAGATTTATATATGTACGTGAGGTGTACCATTTTAACATGCAGATTTGAAAAAAAAAAAAAAATAATGATTTAAGAATAATTAATTGTTTTTATTTAGTAAAACTAAATAAATTATATTATTCCAGTCGGACCAATCGAATCATTAATCCTTGGCAACTTCGTCGAAAATATGAGTATTAGTATTATTAATGACATCGACTAACCATCTCAATTAAAATGAGTAAGTGAGTATACAGTTATACACACAAACGCACATACACTCACACACACACACCTAAGTATGAGGATATTTACCAAAATTTTTATTCGTGGGTATATAATCATTAGCATACACGCTGTTAATAATCAACATTTTAGTTGTTCAGTTAACTGACCAAATATGATATTAAATTTACCGGTTAACATCATGAAACACGATATTATATGGTATAGAATTGTTACTTGTGCTCAGGAGTCAAGTTAGCTCTTAAATCGACATAATATAAGTATATTTACAATCATATGTTTGTTCTCATGACTTGTATATTTATTGTGCGTTTAAATATTATATTGTACAGAGACATATTTGCAGTCAGATAAAGCGACTCACCGATTTCCTCTATTATTTCTCGCTATCTGTAGTAGTCTACCGAGTAATTTTCTCCGATTTGGTCAACGGTTACACATTATACGTAGGACATTCTCAGAACACCAAATACAACTTAAGTTGCTTACTCATACAACCACTAACCATTATATGGCTTCTGACAATTGACCCCATTATAGCTTCATCTGTACTTCAAAACTACCTCAATAATAAATACCTAGAAAATCAGATGGCGAATAGAAATAAACCCTGAAAAGTTTATTCACACTTCAGAAAAAAAATACTTCCCAACACTTCAACGTCAATATGTAAATATTCATACTACATCACAGGTGAAATATTGAAGCGTTATTTTCTACAAACGACTGACTTGTGACCAATGCCTAAAAGCCAACCGTAAAGGACTTAATACCCTCCAGTACTCATATCAGTGTGCCTTGTATAAACTTTCGTTGCATACAAATTCAATATTATATAAATCCCTATTACGACACATTTGGGCTTACGGAACGCATTATCTTTGTAACTTTGTAAGTGCAAAATCATCTCAGGCTTGCAACAAACAATCGACTTTCAATCTAATAGCCTCCACCTCTTGGTACGTCGCAAACAACTATAGCTACAGTGGATACACAACAATTTGATTATACAAACTGATGAGTAACTAGTCAAAAATTATTGTAGAAAATTTCTCGCCGAACTACAAGACCGACCACTAGTATCCTCTTGTTCTCCATCTATCCTCACTTATGCTTCCCAAACACTATCCAGTATCTACGACTTCTCAGAAGACAATAGGGTCGAGATAATAACAGCTTAAATTAATTAAATAACCTATTGAATCTAGAGGGTTCTACCAATGGATAATATTTTAATAATAATATATTCCGCCTTGGATTTTATGTACAGATTGTATGATTTATAAATTTGAAGAAAACATTTTTAAATACCTAAGTACATTGATCTGTGCATTGATTGGAGCTATGCGCTCATAAACAAAAAAACCTTTAAAAAATACCATGATCAAGTGTGCAACTTATCATATTAAACAGATGAGAACTAAATGCATTATGCATATTATATAAGTCAACTTAGGTATACACTCAGTATCATAATACTGCAGCCCCTCACTGATAATGTTTATATATTGCAGGGCTAGACGAAAGACCTTTGGGTCAGATTCGGCACGTGTCGGTCATCTTGAACTTTCACCCGGACTTATTTTCGCAACGACAAGGATTTTATACCTTCTCGGGTGACAGAATGAAAAAAAAAAATACAATAAAAGCTACGAGTATTCTGGCAAAGCGTCGTAGGGGCACAACACTGTCGTTCCACATAAAACTGTACAATAATTGAACTAGTTTGAAAACAGCGACTGCTCGAGTACAAGGCGAGGATCGGTCCATTGTGTGGCGTGTGTTAGTTTAGAGTTATTGGATAGCCGAAATACGAACCCTTATCGTTAACGAGATAAAAAAAAAAATAAATAAATATCGTGGAAAACTAACCGTTATTGTTTCTGTTTATCGATTTATTCCGTCTAAATAAAAATTCGCTGAACTCGATATTGTCGTAACAAATTTCCAAAAATCTATCTTTAATTGGTTTCCTTGGTATAATATCATTTTATATAGGTGTACCTAATCAGAAACCGACGTACATTTTTATAAATTTTTATCAAATTACTTTTTCCCTTAGCTTAAATATTGTACGAAACTCCTAGATTCAATATTAATGGCACGCCTGCAGGGAGCGTGTTTTAAGCATTCTCTTTTCA